TGGCGGGGGCGACGGCGGCGGCGGCGGCGGCGGCGGCGGCGGCGGCGGCGGCGGCGGCCTCAGCGTAGGCGAGCCTCCCTCAACTCCAGCCGGCTCGATGCCAGCGGCACAACTCATCCGGACGGGCTGCACCGCACAATGGTAGGTCGGTGCCGCCGCCGCCAGCACCGCCGCCGCCAGCACCGCCGCCACCACCACGGCCGCCGCCGCCGTCGCTCCAGCACCTCGGGATCACGGCCGTGAGCCGGACTCGCGTAGCCGACCGCGGCGACCGAGGAGTGCGCGAGTGCGCGAGTGCGGCCCACCTGGTCGGGGACCTGCGCCGGGGCTGTGGACCCGGATTACGCGGGTCAGTGTGTTCTCCCGTGCGGGCAAGCGATACGATCAATCGACCGCCCTCGCGCTTTTGCCAAAGTCAATAATGCGCACCGCCGAGTAATTGCCGGGCGCTTATCAATGGAAAATGGCAAAGGTCCCGTTGATTGCTAGCGGCGCGCACGTCCCGGGGGACACGCGATATTTCCGTTGGATCGAAGCGAGGATCAACGTGACTGCAGCAGCCCCCAGCGGCTTCCTTCCTGCATCTCGGCATGTGTCTTTTCGTTTTTTACGCGTGAGTTCCGGGGACGGCTGTGACACGACGTCGCTTTAAATTAATCGAGGCCGCGATCGTGTCGAGCACGCAAGACTGACCAGCACTCCCAGCGGTCTTCTTCCTCTTCCTCAAGTATGTCAGTGCAAAGAGTGCGTATGACGTCAATTAAACACAAATACTGCTTATGACGTTACTCGCGCTGCTCAACAACACTTTATGGACATGGCGCGTGCACGGAGCATTTCATTATAAATTCGGTAGGAGGTCGTGGAGAAGGTGGCGGGCGTGCGGGCGGGAGGGACGGACGGATTAGTGGCGTGGGAGGTGGGAGGGCGGGCGGGGAAGAGAGAGAGAGAGAGAGAGAGAGAGAGTCCAAGTAAATGACACTGTTCGTCTTATTCTCTTTAAATGGACTCTCGTTTATAGCAGACCGATTCCAGGCTTTTATCGAGCATTCGCTATTTAGTTCCGCGTTTGGTCAATCATTAGAATTCGCGTGTTATCGACGGAGAGATACTTTTATCCTCCGGTCCTTCAAAGAAGAAGAAGATAAAGGTAAAAAAAAAAAAAAGAAGAAAACGAAAAAAAAAAAAAAAACAAAAACGAAAAAAAAAACAAAAGCAAAAGAAAAAAAATACAGGAAAGAGGAAAATTTTAATTACGAGACTTTCCAGCTAATCGTAGATAGAGGAGAAGCTTAATGTTCTTACACGCAATCTACGGATTTATATAAATACACATAAATCTTCCCTTTTCTACCCTCTGCATAAATACACTACATTCTGTCCGAGTAGATATACAAAGAAAAACAGGGCGTGCAAACATCCTCTAATAAGCTCTTGATCCCTCGCATCAAAAATCCATTAACAACGGGAAATAGTCGTAAAAACAGACAAAAATGAAATATAATCGGGCGATAGGAATGTCATTAAGTACCACGTTCGTTGGTTAATTAATTCGTGATATAAAACTCAAGCAATTGGGTAATACGATTGCGAGTGTCCGTTGAAAACTCTTAAGCTTAAACGTTAGTTGGTAAATTGGTAGAATCGGATGCGTTTGAAGGCTCTTTATTATTAGGTAAACAAACGAGTCGGTGAGCGATGCCTAGCGAGTGCCCGTATGTTATACAATAGGACGATAATAATGACGAAGCATTGTCGAATCGTTGATAAATGAGCGTGAAAATCCGTTGGCATTGAAAGCAATCGCGATAACAAATGTGTATGAACGGCAACTGGCCGAATTTCGTCTGCTTTGTTCGTCAATTAAATAAATTCCCACTTGTAAACGCGCGCCACCTTCCACATTAGATGCTCATAATCGAAAGAAGGGACGATTAGTCGTCAGTGACGCTCGGCTTATCTCGTCACGGGGTCACCGTGCGCCTTCCCCGAGGCCCATCGACGCCCAGAGCAATCCGACCGAGCAAATCTCAAGCGCTTACCGCCGCAAAGTCCTCGGGTACCTCCGGCATAATTCACTTTGCCGGCGGCTGCCACAATGTTATCGCTGGTCCTCTTCGC